CATGCACAGGAATTGGATATTGATTAGACAATAAATGGTTAGAAATCAAGTAAAGAAAAATAGTCAACTTATAGCATACAACAAAAACATTACCTTCTTAAGAGATCCTCTGGAAGGATCGTACATATATTCACAAAAGAAAGCATGGTCATATGTAAAAGTGACATCTTGAGATCCGAGATCTTTCCTTTTTCTGATCTCGCATTTTCCTTCAATCGCTTCAACTGGTATCGTATGCATCTCCTCACTATAATAGACCTGGAAAAATGAAGAGAATCTGGATAAGAGTAACCTAAGTATAGATCAAACTTATATATTATTGGCCGGCTCAAAATTACAAACAAAAGTTCAATATATTTTTATAGTGATCGACGTTGATTAAAGATAGCGTACAATAGAATGTTCTAATATGAAATGCTAGCTATTACCTCCCTTATATCCGATGAGTAGGCCTTCTCAGATGATATGTCCTCTGGCCTGAAAAATCTTCTGACTTTGACCTCCACTGAACTGGCATCACTCTGTTTGCGATGCTTAACATCACAAATTTCAAGCAGCTGGCATATAGCATATGCCTTTAGTCCTACATTCCTCCCAGACTTGAAATTTTCAGCTTCCCTTTCTGAACAAAAGTAGTAAGGACTCAAGTAGACATAGTCATCAATAGAATATTTAGTTCCTCCATACATGAAACTTGTCAGTGATGTATCCAATTCAAACTTTTCCTTGTTATCATTAGCTTCCTTTGCTCGGCATGCCCCACACAAGCCGGATCCAAGTCCCATCGACCCATATGGAAGGGTAAAGAATGCTCCTCTCTCTGGCCAATACAGGCTTTTGCAGTAATACTCAGTAGGCAACCCCTTCTTCTTCCTTTCTTCTGCTCTTGCTCGATCAACTTTATCAGCATCTGCATTTGCTTTCCTATGCTGATGACCCCAAGGAATTGATCTTATTTCAACACTTATACTCTGCCTGACTTCTTCCAGTAGGAAGTCCTCACATTCATTTGTCAAAAATACCTCCCTTTCATTTGCAGCATTTCCAAGCACAGTTTGGCAGCCGCGTAACATCATTCTCCCATGTAACATTTTCTTCCCATCCAACTTTTCAAAAATGTATTCAACAAAATAAATTGATGGGAATTCATCTGATTCATCATTTTGCACAAGAACAGCCCCACCAACTGCTATTTCATTGCCATGGACTATTGCCTTTCTATATAAACACTCACCGGTAGATAATTTTCCCTCAGATTTCGCATCCCACTTTACTTCCTTGCTACCTGAACGGGACTTTGTCTGCCTTGGCATGGGACTAGGTGTCTGAGTTTTCTCCTGTTCTAACTGTTTCTCCTCAAGAGTATCATCCTCCTCGTTGTCCTCCTGCTCTTCGTTATCTTCATTTTCTTTTACTTCGCATTGGGTTCCTTCATTTGATTCCTCAGGCGAGTAATTGGAATAATACTCACCCCATATTCTGTTGATTAGCCTCGTTGTAGTTGCCTGCATGGCCTTCCTTTTGGACACAACAGGCACAATAGCGGCCCTCGGATTTAAGTTTTGTTCATCCCTCTCCAGGAACTTCTTTTTCTTGACAAGCCATTTAGTGTGGTGTTTCTCTTCCATTTTCTGGGTGAGTCCAATCACAAATGGGCACTTTTTTATGTTCTTATCAGGATACTCTGAGAACTGCTGCAGAATAATCTGGCCATGCACAACCACATATCTTTCTACCAGCACTGAGTTGGATGATATAAAAGCTGGATTGTCTTTGTTAAAATCAGAGATTCTCTTGATAACATCCGCGAAAGAGAGTCTTGCCACACGAATCTGCTCTTTCAGCAAAGTAATGATACTTATTGCAAGCCTTGCTGTTTTCAGGACTTGCTCATACCATGGAGCATATTGCTTTGAAGGTTTACCAAGCCTATACCTGAAAAATGCAAGGAAAAAAACATTATTTATGCATGGAAAAAACTTTATATATCTCCAGGCAAAGTGAACCTGTAAGTACATAGCAATCACTGGCTAAGCACAACAAATTGATACAGCTCCCGTACAATCTACTATGATTCGAATTTTTTGCCGGTACATAGAATATTACAGTATATGCTTTCTGCAACTGCTTTCAGCACGTAATATTATCCAGAACACAAAACCATCTTCTGTCCAACTTTGTTTCCAGATAATTCTCAGTAAATGAGAATGACTTATTAATAGAAGAAGTAAAAGAGTTTGAATAGAGAGCATCATTTTTTTCGTATGGAAACACAAAGAGGTATGTTGATGTATGATGTATGTAAACACAAACAGAGGTAAAAGCAACATACCAGGCCATATCAGTCCGTATAGAAATCGAAATCATTGCGGACCCAAATTCGATCACCCATTCTTTGATCGCACTCAAGAAAATTGGGATCCCTTCAACAGCAGGAGCATCAGAGCCACTTGAAGAGAAAGCAGAATCGCCATCACAGATGTAGCCAGATCCATCATCAGCACTCATTACACCCGAGCCAAATATGGTCACATCAATCTCATCACAAGGTTTCAGGGGAAGGAGCTCCAATGGGACCAATCGAGAATCCGAATTGTACAAAGCCCAGTTGTGCAACATGCTCCGGGGCAAGTCCTCAATGTTCAGCACATCTACGCCACCATCAAATATTATATACTCATCAGTTTCTTCATTTGAAGTTGTATAATAGGCAGGTAGGGGATAGTCATTGGCAATTTCATCCTCATTGATCTTGATGTAGTATTTGCTGGATGAGGAGTTTGAGCCACGGCCTTTTTTCTGCTTCATCGACTGCCAGCGTTCTTCTTCCTGCAACACCCTCGCCATTTTCAAACTTTCATCTTCTTCTGCTGGACAAGTCGCATTTTCGTCGCCACATTTTGGACCTATTCTCAGGTTACCTGAAAGAGGATCAGGCAGAGGTTTATCAATATCCAACTTGTTGCTTTCTTCTCTAAGGGCAGCAAGAACGGGCAGCTCAGCAAATTGCATATCATTCTTCGAGGTCTCGTCCAAACCTATAAGCTGGTTATAGATGAAATCACCCTGGGAAACAATAAAATCCCTGATAGATAGACCACTCGAGAAGCACTTCATCCCACTCATTGCACGCACAAGCACAGCAAGCAGCTCATCAAGGCATAGGTCACCTCCAGATGGCTTGGACAGTATCTTATAAACCTCAACACAGGCACTAGCTTTTGCATAAAAATGGTCATAGAACTTCTTGTAGCTTCCAGAGGGTTTCAAGCAATCATAATCAGCCAACTCTGTTGAAACCCATATCACTGGGGTTCCCTCTTCATAACCAGATATGGCCCATTCCTCGACTCGACCAAATCCTTCACATCTAACTCCTTTTGCTTTCTCCTTGTCAGAACTTTCCTCAAGCGGTAAGATGAGTCCAGTGATAAAGATATCATCTGCTTCGAGCATTTCAAAAGGCTGCGCAACTCCTTCTGAATTATAGAAGATGAAATCAGTGAGCCGCCTGCATGGGCGGCCATCCTCTTGTTCAGCAGTCAGACGAACAGCAATGAGTTCTTCTTCAACCACTCGATCTTTTTTTGTTTCGAGAACTGAATCTTTTCCAGATATACGACAAGACTTCTCCTTGAAATCCGAACAAGCCGCAGCACGCTTGGGCATTTTACGAGAAACGGTA